GAAAAGCTTGATCCAAGGAGATGGAGACTTTGATTTCGAGAAAAACTTGATCCGAGGAGATGGAGTCTTTGTATTATCGAGAAAAAACTTGATCCAAGGAGATGGAGTCTTTGTATTATCGAGAAATACTTGGGATGGGGGTGAAAGTGGGAGGGGGAACCTTAAAAACTTGATCCGAGGAGATGGAGTCTTGGTATTGTTGATATCGAGAGAAACTTGATTCGAGGAGATGGAGGAGAAATTTTGGGGGTGGAAGGAGGGGTACCCAAAAACTTGATCCAAGGAGATGGAGTCTTTGTATTATGAGAAAAAAATTGGGATGGGGGGTGAAAGTGGGAGTCCATTTTGAATGCTTACCCCAGAGGGGGGAATCCAAAAAACTTGATCCGAGGAGATCATAAGAAAATGAAATTCGAAAAAAATTGGGATGGGGGTGAAAGTGGGAGGGGGAACCTCAAAAATTTGATCCGAGGAGATGGAGATTATAAGAAAATGAAATTCGAAAAAAATTGGGATGGGGGTGAAAGTGGGAGGGATAACCTCAAAAATTTGATCCGAGGAGATGGAGATCATAAGAAAATGAAATTCAAAAAAAATTCGAAAAAAATCTGAAAAAAATTCGGGGTGAGGTAGCGATCCGGACGACGCTGCAGAAGGCGCAGCAGAAGGCGCGGGGGGGTTTGCGACGGGCGGGCGCGAAGGGGCGCGGGCGGGCGGCTGGGTCGGCGCGACGGGCGGGGGGCGCTGGGGGGTGGGGGCGCAGGGCGCGGGTGGGGGTTGAGGGTGAGGTGGTCTCGAGGGCGAGGTGGCCTCGAGGGTGAGGTGGTCTCGAGGGCGAGGTCAAGGTCATTAGCATATAGGTGTGAAAAGGAGCCACTCAGGAAAAGGAGCCACTCAGAAAAAGGAAGCCACTCAGCCACAGCCCTTTTCAGGAGAAGCCGCTCAGGAAAAGAAAGCCACTGAGCCGCCTCCGGTACTACTCATATATATACGCTTGAATTAACCTTAATCTTTGTTTACAGTGGCTTAGGATACATTGATGTTAGCGGTCAGATTTTTTTTGCAGCCTACCCTTAAAGTTCCATGAAGCCAGTGACGGGGCTTTGCTTCAGGGAATTAAATATACCCTTCCCTGTCTGTAATCTAGCCTTATTACCCCCTTCCCTTTGGTGCTGCATGATCTCCAAGACTCAGGCAAAGGTCGGCGAACTTTTTCTTGGGTATTATCCCAAAACAAATTTGTGTACAGTGAAATTACCCACTAGATTAAAAATTATTTGTTTGAAAAAATACAACTTTCATAATTTGCTTCGCTTATTAAGTAATAATTTGTGCAGTTTTAGTTATATGTTTATTGAGCTTTCATCACCCTCGAGAATTTAATTTTTACCTCATTTGGGGTAATTTACCCCACTTCCCCGACCTTTGCCACGGTCGTATGACCTTCAACATTGTGTTGTTGACACTGTCATATGACCTTTAATATTGTGTTGTTGTTGACACTGTCGTATGACCTTTAATATTGTGTTGTTGACAAGGTCATATGACCTTTAATATTGTGTTGTTGACACGGTCATATGACCTTTAATATTGTGTTGTTGTTGACACGGTCGTATGACCTTTAACATTGTGCTGTTGTTGACACGGTCATATGACCTTTATTAACATTGTGTTGTTGACACGGACCTAAATAACCGTTCGTTCATTTATTTGGAAGTTTTTTATTTTCTTCTAAAACAAAGACGCATCTGAATTAACTGTTATTTACGTAAATTGAGTCAAAATGCTTGTCATGTTTTCTTTACTGTCGTCTTTATCCTGTTTACTTTTCTTTTTCATTTTACTTCATCCAGTGTTAGGTACGTAGCCTAGCGAGTTCATCCAGTGTTAGGTACGTAGCCCAGCGAGTTCATCCAGTGTTAGGTACGTATTCTAGCGAGTTCATCCAGTGTTAGGTACGTAGCCTAGAGTTCATCCAGTGTTAGGTACGTATTCTAGCGAGTTCATCCAGTGTTAGGTACGTAGCCTAGAGAGTTCATCCAGTGTTAGGTACGTATTCTAGCGAGTTCATCCAGTGTTACGTACGTAGCCTAGAGAGTTCATCCAGTGTTAGGTACGTATTCTAGCGAGTTCATCCAGTGTTAGGTACGTAGTCTAACGAGTTCATTCAGTGTTAGGTACGTAGCATAGCGAGTTCATCCAGTGTTAGGTACGTAGTCTCGCGAGTTCATCCAGTGTTAGGTACGTAGCCTCGCGAGTTCATCCAGTGTTAGGTACGTAGTCTAGCAAGTTCATCCAGTGTTAGGTACGTAGCCTCGCGAGTTTATCCAGTGTTAGGTACGTAGCCTCGCGAGTTCATCCAGTGTTAGGTATGTAGCCTAGCAAGTTCATCCAGTGTTAGGTACGTAGTCTAGCGAGTTCATCCAGTGTTAGGTACGTAGCCTAACGAGTTCATCCAGTGTTAGGTACGTAGTCTAGCGAGTTCATCCAGTGTTAGGTACGTAGCCTAACGAGTTCGTCCAGTGTAGATTAGATTTTGCCACCGAAGTGGCTAGTTTATTGTGCACCCCATATCCATCCTGTGGACGGTAGCGCGAGAGCATGTGGATACACAAAAGGCCTAGGAACTAGGCCCCAAAGGGTTAACAGGAATACATATGGATTTATATCTACATATCTATAGTTCACTTATCTGTTACAAGCAAATTTAGGAAATTTGCTTAGTATATCTGGTATCTTATTTTCATTAATAAGATATCTTGACATGTCACATAGGTTATTATACTGTCTGTCTCTGTATTCCTCAATAAGTGGACAATTAAGCACATAGTGTTCAAGAGTGTCCATATGCCTGATCACATAATTTACATTAACATTGTGTTGTTGTTGACACGGACCTAAATAACCGTTCGTTCATTTATCTGGAAGTTTTTTCTTTTTTTTTTAAAACAAAGACGCATCTGAATTAACTGTTATTTACGTAAATTGAGTCAAAATGCTTGTCATGTTTTCTTTACTGTCGTCTTTATCCTGTTCACTTTTTCATTTTACTTCATCCAGTGTTAGGTACGTAGCCTAGCGAGTTCATTCAGTGTTAGGTACGTAGCCTAGCGAGTTCATCCAGTGTTAGGTACGTAGCCTAGCGAGTTCATCCAGTGTTAGGTACGTAGCCCAGAGAGTTCCAGTGTTAGGTACGTATTCTAGCGAGTTCATCCAGTGTTAGGTACGTATTCTAGCGAGTTTATCCAGTGTTAGGTACGTATTCTAGTGAGTTCATCCAGTGTTAGGTACGTAGTCTAACGAGTTCATCCAGTGTTAGGTACGTAGCCTAGTGAGTTCATCCAGTGTTAGGTACGTGGTCTAACGAGTTCATCCAGTGTTAGGTACGTAGCCTAGCGAGTTCATCCAGTGTTAGGTACGTATTCTAGCGAGTTCATCCAGTGTTAGGTACGTAGTCTAACGAGTTCATCCAGTGTTAGGTACGTAACCTAGCGAGTTCATCCAGTGTTAGGTACGTAGCCTAGCGAGTTCATCCAGTGTTAGGTACGTAGTCTAACGAGTTCATCCAGTGTTAGGTACGTATTCTAGCGAGTTCATCCAGTGTTAGGCATGTAGCCTAGCCAGTTCATCCAGTGTTAGGTACGTAGTCTAACGAGTTCATCCAGTGTTAGATACGTAGCCTAGCGAGTTCATCAGTGTTAGGTACGTAGCCTAGCGAGTTCATCAGTGTTAGGTACGTAGCCTAGAGAGTTCATCCAGTGTTCGGTACGTATTCTAGCGAGTTCATATAGTATTAGGTATGTAGTCTAACGAGTTCATCCAGTGTTAGGTACGTAGCCTAGCGAGTTCATCCAGTGTTAGGTACGTATCCTAGTGAGTTCATCCAGTGTTAGGTACGTAACCTAGCGAGTTCACGTTACTCGAGGCCGCAATTCAACTGAATATTAACATCAACTTGATGTATTTCGGTTGCTGGTCGACCCGAGAAATACATCCCCTTGTTGCACAAGAACAGTCCTCTGTCCCTCACGCCAATATAATAGTGCCGAGTGCGGCATAAGTTGCTAATACAGTTAAATATTAATGTTGTAGATCTGAAGGTAATTAAAAGAGACATTCGTAAATCATCATTTGAAAACTAAAATTTAAAATTCATCAATAAAACTAGTAAACTGGGTATACACAAACCAAAGTAATTAAAAAATCTGTCGGAGCATCAAGCAGATCAATATTCAAAATTACTCAAGTACATTAAGCTTGAGCTGCTCATGTATGCGCTATTATGTAATTTAAAACAGTATTTATTTTTTGTTAATTTTTTTCCAAAGTAACGCAAGTAGGAACCTGTACACGCAAAAATTAAGCCAAACTTTCCATTAAACTTGACCCCTTTTAAGAAAGTTTTACGTAACGTTAGTGTTTGTATATAAATTTTAAAGTCATGATGGTACACATGTTATAAGCACATAAAGCACCATTAAGCTGATTTAACCAGGATAACAACCAAAGTCAAGCAAGTGTCTATCGACAAGTGCCTCTGACAACTAGTAACTAACTACTGTAACTTGTTTCTGATAAAAAAAAAGATTCTTCAGTTATTTTAAAGGCCACCAATTTTATTATTTAATTAACACATGATAACTTAACACAACCTGACATCAACAGCTCGTTTCATTTGAGGAAAAAGTATCACCACTAAATATTTAAAGCTGACCAGATGATACATTTTCCAGTTATTGCACAAAATACAAAAAAAAAAATGCCTACACAGCCTAAACCCATGAAACGTTATAGCTAGAAAACTCCTCTGCAATAACCAGCAGAGACCTGGTTATAGCTAGCTGTAAGGTCTTGGGACTGAAAGAGAATTAAATCCTGTTATTTTGTGCAAGTCGATTTTCTTTTGTTTGGTGGTGTTGTGATTGAGAACTTCAGAGAATACAGTGTTGTTTGTTACTCTGGATTTTATTACCCATCTACAACCATAACACTATCTGTCTCTCCATACCACAGATACGCCAGGTGGAGGAGCATCCTCTACCCTCTTGCATCAGCACTGTCACCGGTCAGAGATCTGTGCTCTTCGGGGATGCTGTAATAGCCACCTGGGATACCTGCATTGGCTACGAGATATGTGAAGAACTTTGGAACCCCGAGAGGTAAACCTGATGTGAAAACAAATACACTCTCTGAAAGGAGGACTTATGACAATAGAGGAGGGAAGGATATGTGTCAAAGCTGACAAATTTTCAGACTTAGGAGGGCCTTAAGTGAGTAAGTCACCCCGTCAAATCAACCCTCAAAACAGAAATGGTACGAGACAGGATCATGCAGCAGAAACCATGGTTAGATGACAGAAAAACATTGCTGGGTATACCTCGACCGAGACAGAACAAGAAAGGAAGGGAAGCTACTGAGACAGAGACCACACAGATGGGAGAGTCGGGAAGAACAGATATGCCACACAGCCCAGCGGTAAAGCCCTGGACCGGCTACCACTAGGGCCATGGTTCAAATCTTTCTGTATTCATTTACAGTCGTTTATTATGACTTAATCTGGTATGTGTGTGTGTGTGTGTGTGTGTGTGTGTGTGTGTACTCACCTAATTGTGGTTGCAGGGGTCGAGACTCAGCTCCTGGCCCCGCCTCTTCACTGATCGCTACTAGGCCCTCTCTCTCTCTGCTTCCTGAGCTTTGCCATACCTCGTCTTAAGCCTATGTATGGTTCCTGCCTCCACTACCTCACTTGCTGGCTATCGCCACTGTGTGGCGAAACGTTTCCTCAATAAAGATACCCAAGAGTTGCACATGTCTAATTTAACAACATGTCGGTTCTTTGAACCATTCATCTACAATCCTGTCAGACACTGCAACTTCTTGGGATCTTAATACTTGGGAATTCTTCTCTTGCCTAACCCTTGGGCACGACCTACTTCCACATTGAACAAATGTGACACCACCTACGACTGCTGCACCTCTCCTGCCATACGGTTTATAAGCTGCTTCTCCGCTCATATACCGTATTCTATTCAAGATTGATGGACTGACCACATCGACTCAAGGTTGAGGGACTGATTACCTCATTCTCCTCCTGTTCTTCAAGTTTCTCCTATGTATGGACTGATGAAACCACTGTGTGGCGAAACGTTTCCTCAATAAAGATACCAAGAGTTGCACATGTGTCTAATTTAACAGGAACCATCTTGTTTAAGCAGGGACCCACTACTGGACGTTGTTCTCGACTTTGATTTGGCATAAGGAAAAGAAATACTTTGGGTTTCTTTCTTGCTATTTCTCTGACCAGTGACTCCCTACGCATTTCGGATATATTGACCTCTTTTAGCCGCTCTGTTATTCTTTTTCGTTGCCTGTAAAGGGAGCGCCTGTCTCTATTTTACATCTACTCCTCCTCCTTCTTAAAGGAATAAGCCTTGAGCATACATCGAGTGACACCGAGTTAATCTGTTCTAGGCATCAGTTGGGGTCTGTGTTGCTTAGTATATCTTCCCAGCTTATATCGGTTAGGACTTGGTTTACTTGGTCCCACTTTATGTTCTTGCTATTGAAGTTGAATTTGGTGAAGGCTCCCTCGTGACTAATCTCATTTTGTCGGTCTGGGGCTCCGCGCATACATGTCTGAATCTCGATTATATTGTGATCTGAGTATATTGTACCACCACCAGTGGTGTAGCAACATCCTCCCCCAAAGCATTATCCTTTTTTTCCCATCTCCAGCAGTATCTCTACTTTGTATTTCTGGAGCTTTTATGTCTAGGTCATTTCCTGCTATTACAGTACTAGCACCACTATCTCCATCTAGTGCACTGTATTACGTTTCTATATCTTTACAGGCACTGTCTTCCAAGGCAGCACCAGGGGTGACAGCTCTTGCTGACCCAACTATCATACAAGACTGTCAAATTTTCCAAGAGTATTTTTTTTTGGTTGGTGTTTTTGTCTTTTAATATAAATGAAATTCGCTTCCATTGCCTCATGTCGCTTTGGCAGACCCAAAAACATTTCCCTGTTTTAATATCATTGAAGACATTAGAGCACTCCAGGATGATTTGAATAGACTGATGCAGTGGTCGGAGAAGTGGCAGATGCAGTTTAATATAGACAAATGCAAAGTTCTAAATGTTGGACAGGAAAATAACCATGCCACATATAAACTAAATAATGTAGATCTTAATATTACGGATTGCGAAAAGGATTTAGGAGTTCTGGTTAGCAGTAATCTGAAACCAAGACAACAGTGCATAAGTGTTCGCAATAAAGCTAACAGAATCCTTGGCTTCATATCAAGAAGTATAAGTAATAGAAGTCCTCAGGTTGTTCTTCAACTCTATATATCTTTGGTTAGGCCTCATTTAGATTATGCTGCACAGTTTTGGTCACCGTATTACAGAATGGATATAAATGCACTGGAAAACGTACAAAGGAGGATGACGAAGTTGATCCCATTTATCAGAAATCTTCCCTATGAGGACAGACCGAGGACCCTGAATCTGTACTCTTTAGAAACGCACAGAATTAGGAGGGATATGATTGAGGTGTATAAATGGAAAACAGGAATTAATAGAGGGGATGTAAATAGCGTGCTAAAAATACTAACATAAACAGGACTCACAGCAGTGGCTTTAAGTTGGAAAAATTCAGATTCAGGAAGGATATAGGAAAGCACTGGTTTGGTAATAGAGTTGTGGATGAGTGGAACAAACTCCCGAGTACCGTCATAGAAGCTAAGACGCTGTGTAGTTTTAAAAATAGGCTAGAAAAATACAAGAGTGGGTGTGGGTGGGTGTGAGTTGGACCTGACTAGCTTGTGCTACTAGGTCGGATGCCTTAAGTGACGTGTCTGACCTCACTAGGTCAAGGCACTGGCTTAAGCCGGTGGGAGAATTGGACCTGCCTCGCATAGGCCAGTAGGCCTGTTGTGTTCTTTCTTTCTCATGTTCTTATTTCTCCATGGGGACTACCTAAAATAACAATGTTACTAAACTTATAGAAATTCTCATATAAAGCTGTGGTGCTACTTATGCAGTAACCATATTAGAGACTAAAAGATCACACTATCAGGTATCGGTATTCTTTATTAATTACTAGTACAGATGTAAATCATTAACTCCAGCATCAATGCACCATACCAGTGAATAGATCGCATTAAAAAAATGCAGTGCCAGTGCTAGAAGTGTTCACATGTTGGGCCAAAGATATCCAGCAATAATGTATCAATGAAAATTGTAAATAAAATTATTTCGCCGGGTCTCATGTAAGGATAACAGGCAAAACTTACTAACACATGCCCCTCTCCGGCAGCCCCCACGTGCCCATGTCCCTGGATGGTGTGGAGATCATCTGCAACGGGTCTGGATCAACGCAGATAATGGGGAATGCGAATGATGCTTATAAGAGAATCCAGAACGCCACAGCCAGGACCGGTGGCTGTTATCTCTTTGCTAATCAGCGGGGCTGCGATGGTAAGTTGTTATCCTTCAGCTCTGTATGTAATGTCAGGTACTGACTCTATAATAAGGAGAAACAAACAGGGAGCTTTTTGATGTTTTGCCCTTGCATTGGGCTTTATGAAATCAAACAGACTTGGTAAGGGAAAAGGGATGAGCAAGTATATATTAACAGTAAGCAGCAGGGAGGTGAAAAGGAGGTGTGAGGGGAGAGTCGGGTTGCATTGACTTTTAAAACATCCTAGTTTTCTGGCAAAAAAGTTCGTCTAAATTAGGGATAATCTGATTCTTTAATAACTTCATCTAGAACAAATGTATTTTATATTACTGATCTGTAAAACTGACAAGTAGATGAATAAGACATGTGTGCAACACTTGTATCTTTGTGTGGAAAAAGACACTTATTCAGGACATGAACTGTACATAAGTGAAGACCTGTTTGTGTGCTCTCTGTGAATCTGAACCAGGATGCCCTCTCTTGAGCAACTTTACCAACAGCTGAGAGAAGAGCTCAGAGTTGCTAAGCTGGGGATACGGCGATTAACGGAGGAGAACAAGAGGATTCGTAGTAATCCTCCTGTTGTGAGTCCCCAGGTTAAGAGGGAGCTTGGTCAGTGGCCGGGCAACATGGAACCAAGCTGAGGATCAAGAAAACAGAAAACGGTTGGAGAGGCAGAAACAACGAGAAACCAGAAGACTACCGTGGAAACTTCCAACCCATTCTCCATGCTACCTGACGAATGTGAGTGTTCTACTGGGAATGCCACAACGAGCACCAAGGAAGCATTGGCAGACGTGAGTGAGACATCCCTAGAAACCCCAACGAAGACCATCGAGAACGTCTTGACAAATTCCACAAGTGGTGTAATGCTACCTGACGAATGTGAGTCGACTACTGGGAGCATCATGAAGGACGACGCCAAGGAAGGTAAAAACATTGTTGTTGTTGGGGATAGCCAGATTAGGGACATGGATAGGGCATTCTGCTTGAAGGATAGGAGTAGGAGGCAGAGAGTGTGTTTTCCTGGGCGGGATGAAGGATATTGTTAGCCGTCTGGATGACGTCATGAGAGGTAATGGGAGCAATCCTATTATCTGTCTCAGTGCTGGAGGCAACGATGTTGGCAGACGTAGGAGTGAGGACCTGATTAGCAGGTATAGGTCAGCTATAGAGCTAATTAGGAGGAAGGGTGTGAAACCTGTCATATGTGGCATTTTGCCAAAGAGAGGAGTTGGAAATGAATGGTTGTCCAGAGCAATTGGTGTCAATTGCTGGCTGGACAAATACTGTAAGAAAAATGCGGTAACATTCATTGACAACTGGGACCTCTTCTATGGCAGAAATGACATGTATGCCAGGGATGGGGTTCACTTATCTAGGAGTGGGGTGGGAGCACTGGCCAACGCAGTGGAGGGAGCTGTTAGGTCTTTAAACTAGGAATAGTTAGTGGTATGGGTTTTGGCGGGAAAACTGTGAAGTCTCAGGGTAGTAATATGAGTACTAGGAGAACTAGTAATAGGCAAAATGAGGTGGATATTGGAAAGCTAGTGGCACTAATTGACAAGGACAGTAATAGGTTTAGTGGAATAACAGAAAGGAGCAGGAAGGGTAAAGAGAGAGGAGGGTCTTTAAATATTTATTACACAAATAGTCGCAGTGCTAGGAATAAGATGGACGAGTTGAGACTAGTTGCTAGTGCAGGTAACATTGATGTATTTGCCATAACTGAGACGTGGTTTAATTCAAAAAGTCGGGACATGCCTGCAGAATGTCACATTCAGGGTTTTAAATTGTTCCAAGTAGATAGAAGTGTCGGGAAGGGGGGTGGGGTGGCATTGTATGTCCGAGATCGCTTGAACTATTGCATAAAAACAGGTATTAAGTCTGAAGTAACACACACAGAGTCTGTTTGGATAGAATTTTCAGAGGGGCATGAAAAATTAATTTTAGGTGTGATATACCGTCCCCCAAATTTAGATAGGGACCAGGGTAGACTACTATGGGAGGAAATTGTTAGGGCCACAAGGCACGATAATGTAGTAATTCTAGGAGACTTTAACTTTAGTCATATTGATTGGAACTTCTTGACTGGGAATTTAGAATCATACGACTTCTTAGAAGTAGTTCAGGATTGTTTTTTGAAGCAGTTTGTGACAGAACCTACAAGGGGTAATAACCTGCTTGACTTAGTTCTGGCAAACAATGAATCCCTTGTTAATAATTTGGAAGTTTCAGAGGAACTGGGTGCTAGCGACCACAAATCAATTACATTTAGCATTGAATGGAAGTATGATAGCAGGGGTAACTCAGTAGCAGTCCCAGATTTTCGCTTAGCAGATTACAATGGGCTTATCATCTGTTGACTGGGGTAACGAAGAGAGCTATCAATATGACAGCTTTCTGAACACCATACTTGCTGCTCAAAGAACGTTTATCCCTTATAAAGAAATTAGATCAAATAGAAATGACCCAAAATGGATGAATAATAGGCTGAAATATCTACTAGGGCATAAGAAAGGAATTTATAGGCGTATCGAAAGAGGTGAGGGTCATCTTATGAATCAGTATATTGACATCAAAAGGGACATTAAAAAGGGGATAAGAAAAGCTAAAAGGGACTATGAAATTAAAGTTGATAGGGATTCTAAAACTAACCCAAAAAGTTTTTTCCAGGTATATAGAACAAAAGTCAGAGATAAGATAGGTCCCCTTAAAAATAACTATGGGCATCTTACTGACAAAGAGAATGAAATGTGCTCGATTTTAAATAATAATTTTCTCTCGGTTTTTACACAGGAAGACACTAATAATATTCCAGTAATTAATTTTTATAGTGGGCCCGAAGAAGATAAATTATGTAACATCACAGTCACTAGTGAAATGATTGTGAAGCAGATAGACCGACTGAAGCAAAATAAGTCACCGGGTCCTGATGAGGTTTTTTCAAGGGTTCTTAAGGAATGCAAAATGGAACTCTGTGAACCATTAACTAATATTTTTAATTTATCTCTTCAAACAGGTGTAGTGTCTGATATGTGGAAGATGGCTAATGTAATTCCTATTTTTAAAACAGGGGACAAGTCGTTACCGTCAAATTACCGCCCAATAAGCCTGACCTCAATTGTAGGCAAATTACTAGAGTCAATTATAGCTGAGATTATAAGAAGCCATCTCGATAAGCATAGCTTGATTAATGATACTCAGCATGGATTCACAAGAGGCCGGTCTTGTCTAACTAATTTATTAACTTTCTTCAGTAAAGCTTTTGAGGCTGTTGACCACGATAAAGAATTTGATATTATTTACTTAGATTTTAGTAAGGCATTTGATAGAGTTCCGCACCAAAGACTGTTGAAGAAAGTAGCAGCTCATGGCATTGGGGGAAGGGTGCTCTCGTGGATCGAATCATGGCTCACAGACAGGAAGCAGAGAGTGTCCATAAATGGGGTTAAATCCGAATGGGGATCAGTAACAAGTGGCGTTCCACAGGGATCAGTCTTGGGCCCGTTGTTGTTTATAATATATATCAATGATCTTGATGATGGAATTACTAGTGATATGAAGATTGAGACACTTATGCAACATATGGGAATCTTTATTCAGGAAACGTTTCGCCACACAGTGGCTTCATCAGTCCGATACAAAGTAGAAAGGCGTAAGGAGAGGAGGAGTTTGAGGTAATCAGTCCCTCAGCCTGAAGTCGATGTGTTCAGTCCATCAATCTTGTAGAATGTACAGCATAGGGCCGTAGACGTGGCTTATATACTGTAGTGAGGTGAGGCGAAGCAGGAGGAGGTGAGGTCATAGTGGTACCATCCACTAGTCGAAGTAAGTCTTCGTCCAAAGGTTGGACAAGTGTTGAAGAATTCTTTGTAACAAGATCCCATGATGCTGCAGTGTCAGACAGTTGTGATGAATGGTTTGAAAAACCGACAAGTTGAAGATTGAGACACTTATGCAACATATGGGAATCTTTATTCAGGAAACGTTTCGCCACACAGTGGCTTCATCAGTCCAATACAAAGAGGAAGGCGTAAGGAGAGGAGGAGAATGAGGTAATCAGTCCCTCAACCTGGAGTCGATGTGTTCAGTCCATCAATCTTGTAGAATGTACAGCATAGGGCCGTAGACGTGGCTTATATACTCACTACAGTATATAAGCCACGTCTACGGCCCTATGCTGTACATTCTACAAGATTGATGGACTGAACACATCGACTCCAGGTTGAGGGACTGATTACCTCATTCTCCTCCTCTCCTTACGCCTTCCTCTTTGTATTGGACTGATGAAGCCACTGTGTGGCGAAACGTTTCCTGAATAAAGATTCCCATATGCTGCATAAGTGTCTCAATCTTCATCATTGCATTAACTGAAACGTGGTATGATTTAAAGAGTCGGGATATGACTGCTGAGTGTAATATTAAGGGATTTAAGTTGTTCAATGTGGATAGATGTAATGGGAAGGGGGGAGGAGTTGCATTGTATGTTCGAGAAAATATCAATTGTTGCATTAAAACAGGTATAAAAATAGATGGAGCAGTAACAGAGTCTGTTTGGGTAGAGTTCGTGGAGGGTCAAGAAAAACTAATTCTAGGTGTAATATACCGACCTCCAGGCTTGGATCACGATAGAGGGAGACTTCTTTGGGACGAAATTGTTAGGGCTTCTGGACACAGTAACATAGTCATAGTAGGGGACTTTAACTTTAGCCAAATTGACTGGAATTCTTTGACAGGTAATCTAGAGTCCAGTGACTTCATGGAAACAGTTCAGGACTGTTTTCTGAAACAGAGTGTAACTGAGCCTACCAGGGTAATAATTTGTTTAGACCTAGTCTTGTCAAATAAGGAAACACTCGTGAATAATCTGGAGATCACTGAAGAGCTTGGCGCAAGTGATCACAAATCCATCACCTTTAGCATTAATTGGGAATGCAAGAATAATGATAATACAGTAAAAATCCCCGATTTTCGTTCTGCCGATTATAATGGACTTAGGGAACATCTGTCTAATCTTGATTGGGGTTATCTAGCTAATGATTTTATTGACGATAATCATACTTATGAATATGAAGGGATCTGCTTTTATGATTGTTTTCTTAATAATGTACACCATGCCCAGAGTATATACATTCCCCAGAGAGAAATTAGGTCTAATAATAACGATCCCAAATGGGTTAACAGGAGGCTAAAGCATCTATTAGGGGAGAAAAGGGAATTTATAGGCGCATCAGAAGAGGAGAGGTTAACCTTACTGACCAATATGTTCAGCTTAAAAGAGAAGTAAAAAAGGTGATTAGAAAGGCTAAACGTGACTATGAAATTAGAGTTGCTAATGAATCAAAGACTAATCCAAAGGGGTTCTTTCAAAGGTATAGGACGAAGGTGAAGGAAAAAGTAGGACCTCTGAAATCTGGGAATGGACAGCTGACGGATAATGAACTGGAAATGTGTTCCTTATTTAATGACTATTTTTTGTCAGTTTTTACACAGGAAGATGTAAATGAGATTCCAGTAATTATTAATTATTTAGTTCCTGATGAATTTAAGTTAACTAATATTACTGTCACGAGGGACATGGTTATTAAACAGATAGACAAACTGAAACAAAATAAGTCCCCGGGACCCGATGAGTTGTTTTCAAGGGTACTTAAGGAATGCAAGATGGAGCTTAGTCAGCCATTAACGAGTGTATTCAATGCGTCCATCCTTACCAGTGTTGTGCCAGAGTTGTGGAAGATGGCTAATGTGGTTCCTATATTCAAATCAGGGGATAAGTCCACTCCTTCAAATTACCGTCCAATAAGCCTGACATCTATAGTGGGCAAGTTATTAGAATCAATTATAGCTGACATTATCAGAAGTCACCTTGAAGAGCATAACTTGATACATGAATCTCAGCATGGATTCACGAGAGGTCGTTCCTGCCTGACAAACTTACTGACGTTCTTCAATAGAACATTTGAGGCAGTTGACAGTGATAAGGAATATGATATTGTTTATTTGGATTTTAGTAAAGCCTTCGACAGAGTACCTCACAAGAGACTCTTAAGAAAAGTGGCAGCTCATGGTATAGGAGGTAAAGTTCTAGCATGGATTGAGGCATGGCTTACCAATAGAAAGCAGAGAGCTACCATTAATGGAGTGAAATCTGAATGGGGATTAGTCACTAGTGGCGTTCCACAAGGATCAGTTTTGGGCCCTCTCTTGTTCATAATTTACATTAATGACCTTGAGTAAGTTTGCTGATGATACAAAGATAGGCCGTATAATTCACTCTGAGGAGGATATCAATGAACTCCAGGACGATTTGAACAAATTAATGTCTTGGTCTGAGAAATGGCAGATGAAGTTTAATGTGGATAAGTGTAAGGTACTTGCCCTTGGTAATGAAAATAACCCTCGAAGCTATAATCTAGGTGAAGTAGAGCTTGGTCATACAGAATGTGAAAAAGACTTGGGAGTCATGGTAAGCAGAAATCTAAAGCCAAGACAGCAGTGCCTCAGTGTGCGCAACAAGGCCAACAGATTACTTGGATTTATCTCAAGAAGTATAAGTAACAGAAGTCCAAAAGTTATTTTACAGCTCTATACATCACTAGTGAGGCCTCATTTAGATTATGCTGCTCAGTTTTGGTCCCCTTACTACAGGATGGACATAGACTCATTAGAGAACATACAGAGAAGAATGACTAAAATGATTTACTGTGTAAGGAACTTCCCGTATGAAGATAGACTTAAAGCCTTAAATCTCCACTCTCTGGAGAGGCGTAGAATGAGGGGAGATATCATTGAAGTGTATAAGTGGATGACGGGCATAAACAAGGGAGACATTAATAAAGTACTGAGGGGTGTCGAACCAGGTAAGAACCAGGAATAATGGATTTAAGTTGGATAAATTTAGATTTAGAAAGGACATAGGTAAGTACTGGTTTTCTTACAGAGTTGTAGATGCGTGGAACAGTCTTCCCAGTGGGGTGATAGAGATTAGGACCTTTGGTAGCTTTAAGAAGAGACTGGACAAATATATGAGTGGGAGGGGCTGGGTTTGATTGGTGTCAAGGGGTACGGGAGTTATTTCTTGAGTAGCTTTAGGTAGATGTCGTTTTGATAAGGACCTGCCTCGTATGGGCCAGTAGGCCTTCTGCAGTGTTCCTACATTCTTATGTTCTTATGTTAACTAACCAGTGAGCACTAATTAAGCCGGAGACAAGTGATATATTGCATGGAATTCTTTCTCCAACCAGGTAGCCCAAGCTATTTTGGGGGAGACTGTTGTATTGGCTTGAACGGAGACTTGGTGGGTCTCGCGATGGACTACAGCCTAGCACAAGTACAGGTTATAACGGCTGCCGTCAACCTAGAGACTATCCGCTGCTACAGGCATCTCATCCGCAGCAGGTGTGAGCATGCAGCCACCAGCACCTCCTACCCCAGAGTCCAGGTACACAGTTAAGCCTATACAGTTCTGTTCTAGTTCCAAGCCAACGAACCCCGATGTGGTCAAGGCACACTTGCGTCCTGAGTTTTTATTCAAGGTTAAATCTACATAATTTGCTATCATTGTATTCCTGTAACTAGTGCCTATATTGTGCTTGAATAAATGCACAATAATCTGTAAAATCATGTGTAGAGAACGTGAATAAACATTATGAAATCGTCGCACTAATAATCTGATAATTATAAATATGGAGAAGTGTATATCTGTGTATACAGTATATAATAAAGATTTACTCTAATCCTTATTTTAGCGAATAAAGTGAATTTGACTGGTGATGAACAGATTACTTGGTCAAAATGACCCATTGTGAGGTCGATGGACTTTAAACCAAATTAACAAACCAATTCCTAGACATCAGCCACACAACTCTACAAAAACATGCAGAACAATCAAGCTTAATACACTGTCCTCCACAATTACAGCTCCTGACTAACGAAGCAATTCTTCAGAACAGTGTTTACATCCACTACGCAAGATGGGTCTCAGGTGACATAATCACCACATGAAATATTAATAATGTCATCATTAGTAAGAATAATTCTCACATACTACAGTCAGCCACAAGCTAGTTTAAACTATACCACGGATAGCAATAGAACCCGCGGTCATTACCTGGAGTTTACCTGGAGAGAGTTTCGGGGGTCAACGCCCCCGCGGCCCGGTCTGTGACCAGGCCTCCTGGTGGATCAGCGCCTGATCAACCAGGCTGTTGCTGCTGGCTGCACGCAAACCAACGTACGAGCCACAGCCCGGCTGATCAGGAACTGACTTTAGGTGCTTGTCCAGTGCCAGCTTGAAGACTGCCAGGGGTCTGTTGGTAATCCCCCTTATGTGTGCTGGGAGGCAGTTGAACAGTCTCGGGCCCCTGACACTTATTGTATGGTCTCTTAACGTGCTAGTGCCACCTAGCCATAAGACTCATCTAACTAGGTATATTTATACACCATAGGAAGGTTAGCATAGGTCACCACTGTAACTACAAGCTATTTTATCCTCAATTGTGGTCAAAAAGAATATTTTCAAGTATTCTCGATATTAATTCTACCCTATTTTGTTCTGCCTTGTTATAATTATCTTTTTTTTTCCTTCAAATTTAGAAGTCTTCATTGAAATATAATTATTTTTAGTAGAGCCATCAAACTTATTTCATAATATGAATTACTTTTAAAAAATGCCTATCTTGGACCAAATTGTCGAAAGACGTACACGCGTATTACAGATTTCAAAAGTAAGATCATGAAGTTATATCCAGAAGCAGTAACACCTAGCAGTAGTACACCTAGCAGTGTACACCTAGCAGTAGTGCACCTAGCAGTAGTACACCTACATAGTCACCAGCAGTATACACCTAGCAGTAGTGCACTAGCAGTAGTGCACAGCAGTAGTACACCTAGCATAGTGCACCTAGCAGTAGTACACCTAGCAGTAGTGCACCTAGCAGTAGTACACCTAGCAGTAGTACACCTAGCAGTAGTGCACCTAGCAGTAGTACACTAGCAGTAGCACCTAGCAGTAGTACACCTAGCAGTAGTGCACCTAGCAGTAGTACACCTAGCAGTAGTGCACCTAGCAGCAGTACACCTAGCAGTAGTACACCTAGCAGTAGTACACCTAGCAGTAGTGCACCTAGCAGTAGTACACCTAGCAGTAGTACACCTAGTAGTAGTACACCTAGCAGTAGTACACCTAGCAGTAGTACACCTAGCAGTAGTGCACCTAGCAGTAGTACACCTAGCAGTAGTACACCTAGCAGTAGTACACCTAGCAGTAGTACACCTAGCAGTAGTACACCTAGCAGTAGTGCACCTAGCAGTAGTACACCTAGCAGTAGTGCACCTAGCAGTAGTGCACCTAGCAGTAGTACACCTAGCAGTAGTACACCTAGCAGTAGTGCACCTAGCAGTAGTACACCTAGCAGTAGTGCACCTAGCAGTAGTGCACCTAGCAGTAGTGCACCTAGCAGTAGTGCACCTAGCAGTAGTGCACCTAGCAGTAGTACACCTAGCAGTAGTGCACCTAGCAGTAGTGCACCTAGCAGTAGTGCACCTAGCAGTAGTACACCTAGCAGTAGTACACCTAGCAGTAGTGCACCTAGCAGTAGTGCACCTAGCAGTAGTACACCTAGCAGTAGTACACCTAGCAGTAGTACACCTAGCAGTAGTACACCTAGCAGTAGTGCACCTAGCAGTAGTGCACCTAGCAGTAGTACACCTAGCAGTAGTACACCTAGCAGTAGTACACCTAGCAGTAGTACACCAAGCAGTAGTACACCTAGCAGTAGTGCACCTAGCAGTAGTGCACCTAGCAGTAGTGCACCTAGCAGTAGTGCACCTAACAGTAGTACACCTAACAGTAGTACACCTAGCAGTAGTGCACCTAGCAGTAGTGCACCTAGCAGTAGTGCACCTAGCAGTAGTGCACCTAGCAGTAGTGCACCTAGCAGTAGTGCACCTAGCAGTAGTGCACCTAGCAGTAGTACACCTAACAGTAGTACACCTAGCAGTAGTGCACCTAGCAGTAGTGCACCTAGCAGTAGTACACCTAGCAGTAGTACACCTAGCAGTAGTGCACCTAGCAGTAGTGCACCTAGCAGTAGTGCACCTAGCAGTAGTGCACCTAGCAGTAGTGCACCTAGCAGTAGTGCACCTAGCAGTAGTGCACCTAGCATAGTGCACCTAGCATAGTGCACCTAGCAGTAGTACACCTAGCAGTAGTACACCTAGCAATAGTACACCTAGCAGTAGTACACCTAGCAGTAGTGCACCTAGCAGTAGTGCACCTAGCAATAGTACACCTAGCAGTAGTACACCTAGCAGTAGTACACCTAGCAGTAGTGCACCTAGCAGTAGTGCACCTAGCAGTAGTGCACCTAGCAGTAGTGCACCTAGCAGTAGTACACCTAACAGTAGTACTACTGCTAGGTGTAAATTTTATCAGCAGTTATTCTGCACATATCAAAATAGCATAGTATCCAGGTATTTGCTTAGAGCTCAGTCTACTGTCCTTCTCAAATCGATCAAAAAAATGTACATCTCCTAATCGCAATTCCTTAAACAATATCTGGAATGGTTTATTTCGAAAGGTCTTAATTTAGGTAGCAATAATTACAATGATAAACTCATTGTAATTATTCAGAAAGATCTCCGGAACGTAATCTTCACTCCTTTTTGTTCCAGCGACCTAAGGAACAATTTCTTGGCGAAACACGACAATCCAGCATCATTAGACGTAAGTAATCCCCTACAATGACTGAACTAAAATATGAAGACCAGACAGGAAGTGATCTGCACCTATGAATCATCATATGTAAAAGAACTCTCAGATATGGATAGGAATGTTCAGTCGTACTTCAACACATAAAGAAGAAAATCACACTTTCAGTGGGAATGTGGCCACCATCATGTACAAATTATTTTGCAGCTACTAAAGAAAATGAAAGAATCAGTAATAATCTCAAAGTGGAAATTGATGAAATTTCCAGATAAGCTCCTAGGGGGATATTACTGTACCTCACCTTAATCTAAATATCGTACTGCACCTCACCTACTACCAACATGTGGAGTAAAAGTATATTCTTCCCTGTCAGTCCCTCAGGTGTATGTTTTCGTGCCTTTACAAATACTACAATGAAAAGGCTCTCATTGGAGACTAAACACTGTATACAGCCCCTCACATTTCGTATTTGTCTCTTATATAGTTATTCAGACTTACCAATAAACAAAATCTTTTCACTATAAATTACTAAACAGGTATTATCACACTTCAGGCAGACTTTTCCTTGTGTGGTGAGGGAGGGGTGGTGTGCCTGCCCTCCTGTGAGCCCATGGTGCCCCGGCTGCCCACGATGGAGGTGGGAGTGGTGGAGGGCCCCGCATGTTGGCTTTGGGATTACCTTCGCAGGTCGGGGAGGAAAGGACTTCTCCTCTCTCTTGCAGGAGACGTAGACTCTTCTGCCACTGCAACCATTGTGTACCACATGTGTCACAAGGTGGTAGAGGCAGTCGTTGCTGGTGACGAACAGGTTAGAGTTCTATTTCTAATACATTCATGTACTAAATAGTGATAATTGTTTCTTAGAGAGAGTGCGAAGTAGCTGTGTATTTCCAGCCCCGAGACTATCTTTAGCAAGGAGAGGAGAAAAATGGCAGTTATATACTAGAGAAAGTTTCTTACTGGTAAGGGTATTAACGGCATCGAGAAAACATTGTATAAAATCAAATCTTCTTTCTGGACACACAGAAGTTATATAGAAGTTTACTGTAAAATTGGTTACAGTTCTGATACACTTCTAGTAAAAAGCCAATAGATACAACTGAATGTCTAAATTAAAGTCATTTATTATACATAGTATTTAGGGCAAACTAATCCTGGAACTTGCATATTAATTATCCTAGACAAAGTATACAATTTTAGGGAATTGCAGATAATTTATTAAAAAAATACATTTCATTTTAGGAATACAGTGGAACCTCAAATTTCGAACGTATCGCTTATCGAACTCTTCGAAAATAGAACCCTTTTTTCGAACCAACTTTGTCCCTATTATCGAACTCACCCCTATTTTCGAACCGCCGGGTACCGGACCTGTCCGGCAGCCCACTCTGTCCGTGTCCCCACGCAGGCGCACATGAGCCAGTCTGGTTTTGTTGTTCGCAGATGATGTGAAGTTAATGTGGAGAATTAAATCAGATGAGGATCAGGTAGGATTTCAAAGAGAACTGGACAGGCTGGATACCTGGTCCAGCAACTTGCTTCTCGAATTTAACCCCACCAAATGCAAAGTCATGAAGATTGGGGAAGGGCATAGAAGACCGCAGACAGAGTACAGGCTAGGTGGTCAAAGACTGGGATGAGTATAACACTGAGCACGTCTCTGGAAGCACACATCAACCAGATAACTGCTGCAGCATATGGGTGCCTGGCAAATCTGAGAATAGTGTTCC